CATTATGACGCTGCAGAAGCTGCCTCCGACGTTGACCTACACCCCTTCTTTGTTTCAGAAGATCCATATTGATGTTATGAAGATGACTCCCTCGAGTAATGGGTGTCAAAACATTATTCACGGGAGATGTGCCCTGAGTAGTTGGCCGGAAGCTCGAGCGGTGAAAAGAGAGACAGCTCGGAGTATAGGAGAATGGTTATTCGAAGATATCATTTGTCGTTGGGGATGTCCGGAAGAAATTGTATCAGACAATGCACCCCAAATGACGAAGGTGTTGGACTGGGTAGAAGAGAAGTATGGAATTCGAGGCATCAAGATCTCACCGTACAATTCCCCAGCCAATGGAAAGATAGAAAGGGCACACCTAATTGTGAGAGAAGCGTTGGTACGAGCTACGAATGATGACTTGAAGAAGTGGTGGTGGTTTCTGAAGCCAGTATTGTGGGCAGACCGAGTAACTGCTCGACGGGGCCTAGGATGCTCGCCATACTTTTTAGTTACAGGTGCGGAACCCATACTGCCGTTGGATATAGTAGAGTCTACTTGGTTGGTAAAGACACCCGAACGTGTACTTTCGCATGGGGAGCTATTAGGCTTTCGAGCCATAGCTCTGGCTAAACACCGAACTCATGTGGAGGATATGATTAATAGAGTGGATTCCAACAAGAGACAAGCACTTCGGCAGTTTGAAAAACAACATCAAAACAGATTGAGGAATTATAACTTTGCACCGGGGACGCTAGTACAAGTTCGCAACTCGCCAATAGAAATGAGTTTAGACCGTAAGATGTATCCAAGATATCTGGGGCCTTTGATTGTCATTCGGAGGACTCGAGGAGGCTCCTACATTCTTGCGCAGATGGATGGAACAGTCTTAAGGGGAAAAGTGGCAGCTTTTCGGGTACTGCCGCACGTGTCCCGATACAAACCTATTGGTTTACCAGCCAACATCCAAGACCTGATTGATATATCTAAGGAACGTCTGGATGAGTTAGTCGGAGAGGACCGTGACGAAGGAAAGAAAGACGGGTCGGATTACGCTTTTCCGAATCTGCCTAACCTTCGAGGAGATTTTGAAAGCTTAGACGATGATGAAGTACTGGACGAAGTCTCGGAACCTGAAAACGAGGACGAGGCAACTTCGGAAGTGGCAACCAGGCCACGGCGGATGATTAAACCAACGGAAAAAGTGGTTGCAGAATCGGACGTGCGCGCCCAACACAGAGCATTTCTGGTTGTGGGAATTGCACCTCTTCAAGAAGAGTTATCACGAATGCCGAAACTGTAAACCGGTGGAATAGCAACATTGGTGACCAAAAAAAGATGTAGGCTAAAGGGGACGGCGTGTCTGACTACATCAACGACCAAGTAGTCAAGTGGTAGACGTCGACATCCCTGGTTTGCTAGGAATAGTTGAGGCCTCGGGTTCGAATCCCGACTTGGTTAATAAACCGGGCAGAAGGCATTAACTTTTGGTTCAGTAAAGAAGGTGTGGTGGTCGTAACCTAGAACAATGAGTAGCGTTGGAATAAGACCAGATAGTTGAATGGTAGATATCGACGTACAGTACACGTTGCTGAGTGTGCAAGAACCGTCGAGGGCTCGGGTTCGAATCCCGATCTGGTTAATGTCATACATATGACCATGTTTTTGTCATACGACTAACAAGGTCATACTGTAAGGACATAGCTAGAGGCCGGAGAAATAAGGAATTTTGACCGTTAGAGGCCTGAAGTTAAGAACTCAAATCTTAAGTTCGAGCAAAGGCAAGGGATAGTGGGACTCCTTTTGAGCCCGAAAAACATAGATTCAGATAAGTCTACGCAGCTAGAGACTAGAGTATACAAGTTAGACTCTACGCAGCGGAAGAACTGGCGGTAGCCTCGGAAGCTCCAGTTGCGGCCTCTTCGGCATTTCCGCCGTTGCTCAAGCCCATCTTGGAGAGATGGATACGATTAACCTCTTCAAGTTGCTTCTGAACGAAAGCATACTGGCCGCTATAATATTTAGTAGCGTGAGCAAGGGTGTTGAGCTCGGACTTGAGGAAGTTGGCAATCGACAAATAAGTCGGCGCCTCCAAAGCCTCCAAGTTCAAGAAAGGAACTAAGGAAGCGAAACGGTCCACTTGTTGACCTTCGGTAATACGTTCGAGAGCTTCGGCTGTTGATAAAGGTCAGACAAGGGATAGATATAATGGAAGCAGTTGTCTTACA